CTTTGTCTTTATATTTTGCCAGTTTCACTATGATATATCATGCAGAAGATTGATTCTAGTTACGTCAGAGGGGAGTTCTCTCTGTGCCTCTTGGATTTCAGTATCTGTTTCCTTCCCCAATTTGGGGAAGTCTCTACTTTAATTTGTTCAAGGACTCCTTCAGTGCCTTTCCCTCTCTCTTCCTCTTCCTGTTCCTATGATACAGATATTGTTCCGTCTGATTGTATCATTCAGCTCTCAAACTGTCCTTTTGTGTTCCTGGATCAGTTTATCTCTTTTTCTCAGCTTCCTCTTTTTCTATAATTGTATCTTCTAATTCACCTATTCTCCTCTCTGCCTCTTCACTCTGTGCATTGGATGCCTCCATTTTATTATGCATCTCATTTATAGCATTTTTTAATTCATCACAACTATTTTTAAGCTCCATAGTCTTTTTAGCAATAGTTTCTCTGATGTCTTCCATGCCTTTTTCAAGCCCAGCAATTAATTTTATGACTATTGTTCTAAATTCTTGTTCAGTTATGTTGCTTATATCAGTTTTGAGCAGTTCTTTAGCTGCCAGTTCTTCCTGGAATTTCTTTAGAGAATAGTTCTTCCAGTTTGTCATTTTGGTTAGCTTTCTGTCTCTTGTTAGAGTTAAAAGCTTGTTATGCACTCAGCATCTGTGAGCACTGCTGTACTCACTTTGAAGGCACTTTGTCCAGGACCTGTCCATTCAGGAAGTGTTCTTGAATGGTGTCTCTTGGTCTCTCTTGTTGAGACTTTGGTTATTTTATTTCCCTACTTGTAGTGGTATTTGGCACTCTCCTCTGTGTGTACTTTGGCTTGTTTCTTGAGGTAGCCTCTTTTGGGTCCAATATCCCTGTCCCGTGGGCGTAGCCGAGGTGGGCCATACTTTATGTCCCAAGCCACGCCTCTCTTCCAGATCTTAGTCCATGCGCCCCATTGATACTGCCTGAAATATAAACCCACAGGCCAAGTCCCTCCTAGCTGTTTCAAGCCTCTCACCTCCCCACTGGGAATTGAGTAGGGCCACAAGAGCAACAGAGTGGCTTTAGGCACGCTGCTTCCCCTCCAGGTCGAGCTGGCAAGAAGAGGAGCAGTTTTACCTGGTGTCACCTGGGACCAGTGCTTCCCGCTCATGGCCAGCTGGACAGCTGGAAACTGGATCCCTCTGTGCCAAGGTTTTTCTCTTCTCCAGGGACTGGGACAGTTCCTTGAGCAGTTTCAGCCACTCTTTCTTTTCCCCTCAACTCAGCGTGGCTCCCCACAAAGGGGGCTCCCTCCCCTCCCTCTGTGTCTCCCTAAGTAGGGTGTTAAAGTCCCCTACACTTATGACATTATTATCAATGAATTACTTCTAAGTTTGTGATTAAGTAATCTATATATATTTGGGAACTTCAAGTTAAGGGTCTAAATGTTTACAATTGTTATATCTTGTTGGATAGACACTTTATTATGATACAGTACCCTTCTTTACTCATTATTGCAGTCTTTTGTTTAAAATCTAGTTTGTCAGATATAAAAATGGCTACTCCAGCTTTCTTTTGATGTCCATTAGCATGATAAATTGTTCTCCATCCCTTCACTTTTAATCTGGAGGTGTCTTTGGGTCTAAAATGAGTCTCTTATAAGCAATATAAGGATGATATGGATGGTTCTGTGCGTGTGTTTGTGTGTGTGTGTGTGTGTGTGTGTGTGTCTGTGTGTATCCATTCTGATACCCTCTGTCTTTTGAGTGGAGCACTTAATCCATTTACATTCAGAGTAATTATTGATATATATGAATTTAGTGCTATTGTATTAAATGTAAAGTCATTGTTCCTATAGTTTGTCTCCATTCTTTTCTAGTCTTTGTTGCTTTTGGTCTCTCTTTCCCACTCAGAATGTCCACTTTAATATTTCTTGCAGAACAGGTGTAGTGTTCATGAATGACTTCGTTTTTGCTTGCTTTGAAAATTCTATGCCTCCTTCTATTTTGAGGAGGATAGATAAAGTATTCTTGGCTGCATATTTTTCCCTTTTAGCATGTTGAATGTATCATGCCACTCCCTTCTGGCCTGTCAAGCTTCTGTGGACAGATCTGCAGCTAACCTGCTGTGTCCACCCTTGTAGGTTAAGGATCTTTACTTTTCTAATTGCTTTAGGAATTCTCTCTTTATCTTTGTATTTTGCAAGTTTCACTCTGATATGTCTTGATTTTGGCCTGTTTTGTTGATTTTGGGGAGTTCTCTGTGTCTCTTGGACTTGGATGCCTGTTTCATTTCTCAGATTAAAAACGTACTCAGCTATTATTTGTTCAAATATACTTGCTTCCCTTTTTTCCCATTCATCTTCTTCTGAGGCTCTAATGATATGAATATTATTGCACTTTATGGAGTTTCTGAGTTCTCTAAGTCTACCTTCATGATCTAATAGTTTTGTTTCCCTCTTCTTTTCAGTTTCATTATTTATAATTTTATCTTCTATATCACATGTTCATTCATTTGCTTCTTCCATCCTCATTGTGATTATATTCAGTCAGTTTTGCATCTCAGTTATAATACTTTCTATTTTGGCCTGACTAGTTTTTAGGTCTTTATCTCTTCAGCAAGTGTTTCTCCACAGCTAGTATTCTTATGACGGTTCTAATTTTTTTTTTTCAGATACATTATTTATATCTGTTTGGAGTACATCCCTGGCTATGATTTCTTTTTGATCTTTCTTATGGGGAGAGTTCCTCCATTTGTCATTTTGTTTAGGTTTCTTTCTTTTGCATGTTATGAAAGCTTGTTATGTTTCCTGCTCCTGTAACTAATGCTATATTAAGAAGGGGTCATGCACTGTCCAGGTCCTGGCACTTCAGGAAATGCTTTTAGTGGATGCTGTGTGCATTCATTCTGCTGTTGTGTTTGGACCTCCAACTAGGTGTTCTTTGATTTGTTCCTTAAAATAATCATGGTAAAAACAAACAAATAAAACAAAAGAGAAGCAGCCTGGTCCTATTTCTATCAGAACTGAAGCTGATGCTTTGAAAGAGTATTCTATGATCAGTAGACATAGTGCATACCGGCCAACTGTGCTGCTCTTCTGGGAGAGAGGCCCTCTGCACTGGCTTACAGTGAGACTTGACCTAGTAAGGATGCACCTGTAGGGTGCAGGGGAGTGGGGTTTGGTAAACGGCTCCAGCCTCCACTGGGGACACTGTGTTGCTGCTCACTGAAGTCTGACCATGCAGGTGGGCCAGTGGAAAATGGTGTTATCCTGCTCTCTCATCCCTGGAGAAGGGAGTTCAGGAAGACCACCCACCCACTGCTGTTCAGTAAGCTGTCACAGAAAAGCAAACAATCTCCCTTCTAATGTCCCAGCCTTCTATCAGATTCTTGCCCTCACCCTATGTGTTCCCAGGCCATTAGCATGTCTTGTGCCACAGTTCTCCTGGGTTTTATCTCTGGTACCTGGTTGGGATTCAAAACTCCAAATCTTAAAGGACCTAGCAAGGCATAGACCCACTCCCCTCCTCCAGAGGAGAGCCTCACCATGCTGTATCTGGTGCACTCTCAGCCCAGAAAAGCAGTCACACAACTACAAGGGTTGTGTGGGGCTTATGGCAAAACACAGCAAAAATCAACAACCAGGATGTCTGTACTCTGTGTGTGCTTCTGGCCTTTGCTGTTGAACGGGCACTCAGTGGTATCCACTGAGTCTTTTGTCCTTGGAGAGGCAATATACTCTTTTCCAAAGGTACCCTAGGAAGGGAAACATTCTCTCCCAGTGCAACCCTAGGGATCCCTACACCCACTGTATACTGCAGGTCTCTGCCCTACTTCTCCCCAAGAGCACAGCCATGCCCACTTGGCTCCCCTCTGGTGAATGGTGTGGACTTCCAAAACCTCAGAATTTGAGTTCTTGTGCTTGCAGAAACTTGTGATAATCCGTTCTTCTTAAATCACCAGTCAGTGTTTTGGGGAAAGTGTTTTTCTTGCATAAACCCAGTGTGCTGCTCTCTCTCCCCATTTCTCTTTCTTTCTCTCTCTCCTCTCTTCATGGAAAGGGCTCCATCCCCTATGTGGCACTGTGACTTTTCTCTTCCCCAGTTCACATCTCTAAACCTCATACCTGCCATGTTCTCTCTAATTGGACACATTGTTCTCCTAACACTAAGGTCAGTTTCCTAGGTATTCAAAATGATTTGATGTTGTGTTTGAGGGACAAAGCAAGCTCTGGATATTCTACTCTGCCATCTTAACTCCCTCCCCCTGACCAGGACTATTTAGCAAGGGACTATTAAGATGTACTCCAAATAGTTTCAGACATAGTCTTGTAAATATTTATGTCAGCAACTCATTACCTTTTAGTAATTGTGTCAAACATCTTAGCCAGTTAAGTACTTTTCTTCCTAATAATTTAAAACAAAAATTATATTTGTTCAATATTATCTGAAGGTAGTCCCAAATTCCAGTTTATTGAAAGCATGGCCATGTCCTCTTATAGAAACACTACTTCCTTGGGCAAAAGAGCCCTCAAATTCATTCAGTCAAAAGTCATGAGGAAAGGGAAACAAATTCTTTTGGTAGGCCATTCTCACCTCTGCCATTTGCTTCCTGGTCCTTACATCTTGGTTAAGGGGAAGAAGGCACAAGATAATGGTTGGAGTTTGAGACATATACTCCATTCTGTAGGACTTCATCCAAAATTCGCTGTGTTGGGCCCTCTACTGACATAGTAACTAAGCCTTCAACAGTCCATTCAAACTTTCTACCAGATCAGCTACATATGGGTGATGGGACATACCATAAGACCAGTGCATACTATAGGACTGAGCCTCTGCCACACACACATGTCCTTTGGTTGAATGTGAAGCTGTATGAGATAGTGTGCTGAAATCCATAATTAGCAGAAGGTTGTTGTGGTTTTTGTTTTTTTGGGTTTGTTTGTTTGTTTGTTTTTTAGAAAACAGGCAAATCTATACTGAAAATACCTTACCTTATAAGACAAAATGTGGTATCCTTCATGACAGGTGGGATCCAGTATACTTTACTTCCCTTGAGGGAGCAGGTTGGTACCCACCACCCACTATCAGGAGGTAATGCCATATTGACGCTCAGCCTCAGCTGAAACCAAATAGAAGCCAGGGTTAATTTATGTAATCCATCCATGCTAGAGTGGGGGAAACAGAATAGAGAAGGGAAGAGAGAAGATGGATCTGTGAAGCAACCAAGATATATACAACACGGATATCAAATAAAAATAAAGTGCTACTCTTAAAAACAATGACAAGCTATATTTCATCTGTTAGAGAGGCAACTTTTTAACAGAACTGAAAGTAAACAGTATTGGTGTAGAGATAAGGTGGTAGAACAACTCCCACATGCAGCTGGTGAACATGAATGTTCACATGCCTTTGGGGAGTAAGTTTTCATTGAAATCCAAATGCACTGAACCATAATTTACCTCAAGGATTATAGGAGTAACATGTGTATAAGGTAATACTGTGTAAGTTATTAATTACTCCACTGTACAATAAACAAAATATAGAAACCATTTCAAGGTCTGTAAATATAGGATAAGAAATGCTTTATTGTACAGTGAAGAACAATGGAATTTGATTCACATATTTTAAAAAGAATTAAAAACATCTACCTACACTAATATGGAATGAATTTTGTGACAAAATGATAAAAGGAAGTTGCAGAACAATTTGTAGAGTATACTTCTATGAAAGTTAAAAAAAAAAAAAAGATATGTAAACTACCCAGCTATTACAAGGAAATTTTATAAAATTCAGCCATGATATAATTCTAAATGTCTTCTCTACATATTCTATTGCTGATGCTTTCTTCTCTATCCCTGCCCAAATATGAAGATAGATTTTGAGCACAGAGTTTCACAGCCTGAAGCTTTGTTTCCATATTTTTCTTTTGGAGCTACTAAAGTTTGAAAGGAAGTAGAAGAGAAACACAAGTAGAGGGTTCCAGAAATTTTGACCATCATTCTTGTTCCCACCTCATGTTTTTAATTTATTTACTATCTCCTGAAAGATAAATACAAATTATTCCTCTTCTTTACTGAAAGTCCTTCTTTATTTTACTCATACTTCAGTTCTTTCAGTAAGTTCTCTAGTAAAAGGTATTTTCCTGACCAAATATGATCTACTTGAAACTCTGGTGAATGCTATTTTCTCTTTTACTTATTTAAATTATAGATTTGCTCTTAAAATACATAGTCAGATATTTACACAATGGTGGATAATGACACTATGAACTACCCCAACTACTCTCATAGTTGGAATCTTTATTTATTTATTTTCCCAACAAACATGTATTGCTTTTATTTACTTTATTTTATTTTTTTAATAGCTTATTGTCAAGTTGGTTTCCATATAACACCCAGTGCTCATCCCCACAAGTACCCTCCTCCATGCCCATAAATATTGCTTTTATAAGTTGAAAAAAAATAAAAATCTAAAGCTTTTAATAAAAGTATTGGCATGATCCCAGATTAATCCTAGTTCACATTTCCTTCTATTTATTTTCCTCTAGTCATCACATTCTCTCTAAAGGTTTTAATTACTCTCTGTATGACAATTATTACAAATCCATATTTCCATTTAGATACTTTTTCAAGCTGCAAATATATGTATTTCCTACTGGATATTCATCCTTTCATGGAGATACATGCATTACCTGCCTACTATATGCCAAGTGCCACAAGAAGTGATGGGCACACAGTAGCTAAAGCCAAGTGGCATAGTCCCTGCATTCATGCATTTGAAAACCTTCGGAAGCACTGTATAATAAATAATTAGACAAATAAATAAATGTGTTTAACATGTTCTAAGCAATGCCCTTCAGAAAAATAAGTACAATACTATAATAAAAAAAAACATTCAATTTTAAAAATCCAGTAGCTAAGGAAATTCATTCTGAGGGGATGATGTTTAAGGTGAGGCCAAATGGAGAAATGTCCAGCCATCTCAAGAGTAGTTTCAAGGAAGATGGACAGCAAGTGGGAAAAGGACAGCAAGTTGGGAAAATACTTGCTGTGTTTTACAAATGGAAAGAGAGCTATGTGATTTAGGCATAGAAATTGAGAAGGGATGAGGCATAAAATAATCTAAGTGGCATAAGCACAGGAACTCAGTCATGGCAATCTTAGACTATATGGAAATTTTGGACTTTTATCTTAAAAGCAATGGGACTTATTGGAGCAGTTTATGTAGATTAGTGATGTGCTTTGGTTTATATTTTTAAAAATTCTCTTTGTTCTATTATTATTGCTATAAAAGTAGGGCAGAGAGGTAGGGAAGAAGCAGATCATTAAGAACCTATAAGGTATTTAGATTTTCTCTATCAGCATTTTCCATTTTCCATTTCAGAAATCTGGATATGTTTGACTCCTCTATTCCCTTCACTTGTTCTACCATTCTCTGATAAGCTTTGGCAATTTTAGATTCTTAATAATTCTCATAGGTATAATTTCTTCTTTTTCTCAACATTTACTTCCTTAGATTAGGGCTTCATAATTTTTTATCTGGACCATTAAAATACAATAATCTCTTTAACACATTTCTTTGACTACCATCATGCATATTGACCATGATTATGCAAACTGATGCTTTAGTCATCTTAATAAACACTTGCGTATGGCACCCCACTACTTATATTATCATTGGATGTCCACAATTCAGTGCATATATTTATTTGTATAGTAAAATGCCATTTATCGAGCACTTTTATGACAAGGTTAATATATCAAATCTTCATAACAACCTTATTGTTTGGTTTTGTCATTGTCCTTGTTTTACATATGAAGAAGCTGGGGCTTGTGGAGATAGCATAATGATGAAAGTGAGTTATTTACCTGGTCCATCGAAGAGTAAAGGCACTCTTAGAAACTGTTTGATAGATTGCAAATCACCGTGATATTATTTTTGGAGGAACTCCTCTGCTCAAATTTATAGGTAAAATGCATCTTCTTTAAGACTTTAAACCGTTTTAGTTTCTTTGGTAGGGATCTTCTTGCCTGCAACTTGGAATGCTGTCATTAGGAACTTAAAGACCACTTTAGAAAATTGTAACAATTTCTGGGGCGCCTGGGTGGCTTAGTCGGTTAAGCGTCCGACTTTCGCTTAGGTCATGATCTCGCGGTTCGTGGGTTCGAGCCCCGCGTCGGGCTCTGTGCTGACTGCCAGCTCAGAGCCTGGAGCCTGTTTCAGTCTGTGACTCCCTCTCTCTCTGACCCTCCCCTGCTCATGCTGTCTCTCTCTCTCTCTCCTAGAAATAAATAAAAAAACATAAAAAAAAAAAAAAGAAAATTGTAACAATTTCTGATTAAAATTAGTGAAACATTCTTGTGGTGATTTATCACAGTGTTTTATTTGGCTGGGGGGGGATTGGTATTAAAATTTTTGGCCTACATACTCTTAGAAAATTTCCCAAATTTTGCCTTTTATGATACAATTACTCAATAAATAATTAAGCATAGCAGTTTCAAATGACTGATTTTTAAAGTGAGTAGAAATATATCTCGTTTTCTTAATGTAGGGATAATTTCTATACAGTAAGGAGTATAGATTTCTGTCAAGTTGTGAGTCATTAGAACTGAAGCTTGCTTTGTCTTCCAGTCAAGGACTTAAGTCTGATACACTCAATATCTGCACTTATTGTTCTCACTCCTCTCTCCCCTATACCATCATCCCTCTAGAATCATCTTCATTTCCTGAAGAAGGTTACCAGCCAGCCAGACCAATATTGGTACCACTAGGCCTTAATAAAACAAGCTTTAATAAAAGAAGATAACAAAGTGACAACTATAGGATTCCACAGAGAATTAATCTGTTATCAAAACATACATCAGATTTCTCCCTCTCACCCCAGCCCTTTAGTGCTTTCCTTTTCCTCTTATAGTTAAGATGAGAAAGAACTGCAGGTGATGTGTAAGTTTTGGGTGAAGGTTTTCTTTTCAACATGAGGATTTGTTTTCCATATGTTGTTGAGGCAACAATTTCATAATCTTTCTGACAATTTTTGGTTTTTCTGAGATTCCATACAAACCTGACTTATGGGTATGAAGAAAATTAACATTAACAGTAGATGTTAGACACAAACATAGGCAATGAACAAAATATTATAAAATCACATGACTTTCCTACTACGGTAGAATTTTGCTTTTCTGTTGTCAATAGGTAAGACCTAATTCAACAAGCTCCAGCCCATCCCTCATTTCTCTTCAAATAAATCAAAATTTTCAAAAAGTAAAATATAAATGATATCACGCAAATATAAATGATCCCCTTTCAGAAATTTCCCTCAACTCATTAAGTAATATGGTGTTATGGCCTGAATTGTGTCCTCTCTAAAAATGTATATGTTGGAGTCCTAATGCCAGGCACCTCAAAATGTGACTATATTTGGAGACTGCATTTTATAAGTGGTATTTTAAGTTAAAATGAGGTCATTAGGGTAGGCCCTAAGCCACTATGACTAGTTTCCTTATAATAAGGGGAGAGTAGTACACAGATATACATAGAGGAAAGACCATGTGAAGACACAGGGAAAAGAGGGCCATCTACAAGCCAAGGGGAGATGATTCAGAAGAAACCAACCCTGGCAACACTTTGATCTCCAGATTTCTAGCCTCCAGAAATTTGAGGAAATAAATTTCTATTTAAGCACTCAGTCTGTGGTTCTTTGTTATGGCACCTCTAGCAAAGAATACATTTACTAATGCACATGAGCCCTACTATGGGCAATGAACATCTGACCATATTTTTCTATGAGTTGACTTCTAGCCCAACAGAATTGTAAAATAGTCTAGCCATGGAAAGTCAATGAAAAGTGCATACCCCTATAGAATCAGATATTCCTCCACATGTCTAGTAGATAAAACTTAGTTCACTTAAAGAATGTGCACTTAATCTCTTTTATCCAATTCCAAGCATTAGACAATGTTTTATTGACAGCCCACAAACTCATACCCTACACACATCTCTATCTCATGCATGTAAGCATTGATCAGTATATCTCATAATATATAAAAATATTTTCCTTGCATTCAGTAATACTTATGAAAGTAGTTTGCCTAGTAGCATCTACATACATTCCATTCAGGG